ACCTGTGAATGGATTGTTATTCTTCAACCATAAGCGGTTAAGCAAGTCGGCCGAGGCGAGGTGGAGTCGTTAAGCGTCAGATAGCCTGAGGGTCTGCGGCCTGGGTTGCGGACGTCAGCCAGTTGAAAACACATTAGCGAAAGATTCGTTTTAATGCTTCATCGTTAGAAGTTAGAATCGCATTACTGCAAGATAAATCGTGATTTTATTGAACTGAGACACTGTCCGATCCGAATCCTTACCGGCCAGCAGCTCTCACGCGAGCGGTAGATCTGCTCGGCGTACTTTGATCTTGCTCTGGCTCATCGCTTCGAACATGATAACTCCATTAATCGTAGTCTGATGCTTTGATACCGAGTTTTACAATAGGATAAACTAAAAATTTGTTGCCCTGTTCCTCCGCGCAACTGAACGTCTATTGCTTACGAACGTCACGTGGTTCGCATATATAATTACTATGTCGAGCACGTGGGGGTCATGCTATAAACAGTGTTGGTTTGCATTTTGAGCAGCTGAAAGCCACCCAGAGAATATCAAGAACACTATCTTCAGAAACATATGGTACTTGCGTTTTGGTTCTCACTAAGGCCTAGTGTTTGCACCTGTTACACTGTTATCCCATCTACATAGGTTCCGAATCACTCACGCTCATCTGGGCTGCTAAGCACAATTGAAATTGCTCCCGTGCTTGTCTAAGACACAGGCTGAAGTGCAATGAAAACTGATTTGAACTGCTCCTCGCCTTCTCCAGAATGCAGTTTTAGCTGCTTCCAGCCTGCTCCAAAACAGCAGTTTCAGCTGCTCCCGTGGCTGCTCCCAAGTACATTTCAGGAGTTCCACCCCTGTATACTTGTACTACGAGACCTCTTCCAGCACAATGGAAGATCATGATTTCTCGGAGATGAAATGCATGCTTGAATAAAGGGACAAACAAATCGGTGCCGCCCTTAACAATAAAACAAGATATAAAAATCTGCACTCGCAGAACAGCCTGGTTTTAATTTCTTTATTGCTTATAACATTTCGGTGTCAACTGGATTGATTGCTACAATGTTGTTAGTCAATATTAGTGAAAAAAAAGATGTGCTTGCATTGACCAAAGTGCAAACATTGTAAAAACATTTTTCAGGAAACACAGATCTCCAACAATATTCGGTCCCGCTGGGCAATGGTAGCAATACATGTACAAACATTCTCACATCTAGGTCAGTTGACAAGCTTCTGAAAACGCCAGACGCCTTTTTGCAGTGCGTCCGCTCAGTGGCGCCTGCCACACTATCAGCCCACCCTATGGACAGATTGGACAGATCCGGTGGAATGTTCGATGCACATTACCTGCAGTAGAAAGTGATTTTATTGTGGTTCTTATAGCTCTTAGGCACCTGTTTCCGCATTTAGCAGTGTCGCCGTCTATGTAACTACCTCGCTAAATTTAGCGGGAAATTGAATTGGTGTTGAAGTCACGTGACGCCAATTTTCCCGCTAAGTCTAGCGGAGAAACTGAATTTGTTCATGGGTGTTAGTCATCTGACGTCATTTTCCCCCGCTAAATATGTGTTGGGTCACCTGACATCAATTTCCCCGCCAAATTTAGCGGGGAAACTTAACCCACTAAATTGGGCAGGAAATTTAGCTAACATTTTCTGCTAAATTGGAGGGAAGGGAGAGGTAAACCCTCCCCTCCTCGTCAAGTGCTGCGTTCTACCTTCGCATTACAGAGAATTGTAAACGTCTCATTTTTTTTAACGCTGCTCTTCCGTGGAGCTTGTCAACCGATAGATCAGAGAACATTGGTGTGTACCGCCTGAGCGGAGGCATCTGTTTTCCCAAGCACCAGTTTTGAAACCCTCCTTTTCTTGAATCCTTTCAAGAAGACACCCAGTTAAAGGGCAACTCCGGTCCATACTTTCGAGTTTGGGATTATGACTGTTTTTAATGCAGTCAGCGTCCCTGAATTGCAAGGTGTAATTTTTTTCTCGTTATTGTGTGCAGTTTAAAAGATATTGACGCCCCATAGTTTTGTTTGGGGCGCGGCCAACAAAACCGAAACTAGCCGCTCGAGGCCCGGACAACACTGGATATCAGCCGCTATGTGAATGTGACGTTGGGATCGTTCTCGTTCAACGAGTATGCAGGCCGAGCGGCACCTACCTCAGTTGCACTAGCCGTCTAAAGATAGGAAGTAAGCTGATTTTGTTTTAATTTTGTGTACGTGGTAGTTATCTAGAATATGTAGCAAGAGTTAGTGCGTCCGTGAGCTCGTACGGTGCCTTACTCAGCGGCCGCCGCCGTGCGTGCGCTTTGCCGTACCCGTCGCTTGTATACCCAAAAGCTAGCGACTGCAAAACAAGTGAACTCGTTCGGTGCCGTACTCGGCGGCTATCGCCGTGTGTGCAGTCTTCCGTACTCGTCGCTAGGCCTAAATTGTCATCGGGGTTCCGTGGATGGAGCGGCGTTAATCTATGTCGCACTGCTAGTGACGTACAGTGCTGGGGGCCCTCTCGCTTTCGCGCGGCGGGTCAGTCCGAGACACAAAGCTTTGAGGCTCTCCGGCGTGGGCCGCGGCGCCCGAACACTTGTGCCGGGCTGCATGCGTCTGTTTTTTCATTCTTTTTTTTTTTTTTCCTCGGGCGCATAAAAGCCGAAGTCCAAAGCCCACTTGCCGAACAGCGTTCACCCACACCTTCTCCAATTTCCGGTCCGTTGGAAACGTGTGAAAAAGCACCTCCGTGCTGCGCAGCGGGTTGTTTGAGCATCCCACAGTGCTACAAGTTGCACTCAGCATCTTTCGAGGAACAGCTGGGCAGTCTTGGGCGTACCGATGCTTGCTAAAACGAGTCTTGGAGTCCTCGCAAGCGAATAAACAAAAGGGTATACCGAAGCTATATGGGCTACAGATAAAAGCAACGGCTAAACACGCCAATCACAAGCCAAAGTAGCGGTGGTAGCGGCTCAGAGAAGTGCACTCCGCGCAACGGCCTCGACCGGAGAAAAAAAAAAGAGAACGATACTGACGTCACGGCCCAATGTTGCTTTAGCGATCGGCAACCCGCTGGCCGCCCGCTAAGGAGCAGCGGCTCGCATTTTTATTATCGGCATTAGTTGAGAATGCGGCGTCCCACGGACATAATATTTTGGCTGGGGTCGTATTTTGTGTCACTACAGCGATACCAGTAATTTATTTCATTTTGAGTTTTGGCCGGAGTTGCCCTTTAAGAGAAAATGGCGACAAACAGCCTTTTAGCACATTTGTTTTTAGAAATACGCAATTCACCGAACTTGGCTGCATGCTCTAGCATTTGCTTGTTCCGCCTTTGCCAATGACAAAGCCGAGCCGGTCAGTCAGCAAGTCGGTCGCCTGGGCGGCCAGCATGTTCAGAGTATTATAGACAAATTTTCGTGCTTGTCACAACACTGCTGTTTTCACAATAATAATTTTACGTTCTGCCTGGTTTACGGCCTAACAAAGAGTGGCTGCTCAAAGCATAGGTCAACAAGCTTCACTGAATCGTGCGGTAGCCTTTAGCTAAGTCTTTCAGACGACGATCGAATAAAATCACTAAACGGCGCTCCTCTACAACTGCTTGTTTTAGGTGCAGTACATTCTATTAGCTTAAAACAAAGGCACACAGCTAAAGCACCTCAGTGATGCCTAGCAGGTAGTGAAGCAAATCTCTCTGTAACAAAGCGTGTGTGGTTACCGAGACATCACGTTATTCAGAGTGCAGATGCAGAGTATAACCACTGTACAGCTTTGTCTCCGTATTTGCATTCTCTTCCAAGGTATTGTCCAGGTACAGGCGGCACTGCCGAGCAGAGGAGCAAATAAATAAACATTTGACAAAAAGTACTATTCAGTTTCGTACCACCAACATTACCGTCTTGCTTCGGCTCTTCACTAGATAGTTGACAGCTGCCCGATGGTTTCCAGATATGCGGAAGCAAAACATTTCATCAACATAAGTGCTATCCGCCACCGCTTAGCCAAGTGTTCTTTGCGAACATAACTGGGCTGCCTAACGATATTATAGAACGCCGCAAGTTAAATAATTTTAAAACAAAAGCGGTTCTTGCAATTGCGCTACATAAAAAGAACAGTGGAGGTAGAGCTGCATGGTACCTACGTTTGTGGATATTTGCTAGCAAAATAGCAGGTATTGAAAACAGGAAAATTAACCAGAAAGTGTGATGGGTTTGGGAGTGAAAGAAACGTGGACAAAAGGCAAGCAGTTCAGATGAGACGACCCACCGAGCTAACGCTGTACAAAAAAAACGATCTTAACCTGAAATACTACTTTCTGTACAAACACAAGATACTCACGATATTACACGATAAATAGCCACCAAAATTAACGTACCAATTAGGCAGTGCTGTTCGTAAGTCGCGTAAATCGCCGAAGTCACGGAACGTTCACGAAACAAAACGGCCATCTTGGAAAAATCAAAATAGTGATGGTGATAGCGATGGGTCTTCTGTAAAAACTCCGAGGACAAATGTAATCAGTGTTTTTTTTTTTTTTTTCGTTTTAATTAATGTAAGGAACACATATTCACCTTTGCAGAAACTTAAAATTATGGCAACAAAATGGCCTTAGTTTGAACATTTAGTTGTGCCGAAATACACTTGGCAATGTTTCAAATCTGCAAAACGCAGATTTGAAAGCCCTTGCCGATTGCCTTTCCGTGAGCGTGTGAATGGTCAAAAGCCGATGCAATGATAGGCTGAAATACTCCGAGGATAGCATGCTTAAAGTGGTCAGAAATATTAAACGGGGTATATCTATTGTCTTTCCATCGAACTTTTCGGAGCTTAATCTTCTCAATAATTACCTTCTCGCATGTTTCACAGTAATCCGTGGCATGGATTCACCACACTATTTTTGTCAAGTGTGGCAAGAGGTATGCACCACCGTCAGAAAAAAATATGAGAATTTATTTAATTACGACAGGACGCCACGAAAGGGGAAGATGGCAAGACCCGATCCACCAAAAAGGAGTGGGCCTAAGAGTGCAGTCTTGGTCCATGATTCACGACGGTAACCTATGATGAATGCAGAGAACAAAGGAGTCCATCAGGTCAACAGGAACCAATATCTGACCCGAACATGCAAGGAAAATGCTCAGTTGGAAAACTCACTCTTGGACCATGATGGAACTTAACCCGAGACTGGGGTAGACGTTCTCTTCTTCACTTGTCTCTGTCCCTTCTACTTTTAAGTTTCTGTTTCTACCCCAGTCTCGGGTTAAGTTCCATCATGGTAAATATCCACCAGCTCGCCTGTACTTTAACCGTTTTTTCATCACTCTTGGAACCACGACCGCTGGCGTCCACCGAGACCAAACTAAATACAATAAGAGCGCCACCCTTCTGCGACGAATTAAAACATACAAGTTGTTTTATTTAGCTACTGCAAAATGGCCCTGCGAGACGGCGCCATGTAGAGTTCCTGTATAGGCTCTTTACAGGAGCCATAGTTGCATGACTGTTTTCCACGAACCGCCACACCGAGATGCGACCATGTGAGGAGCAGACTCAAATGCCGTGCACGAAAGTACACATTGCACGCATCCTGGCATACGTTACTCTGCTTTTGAGCGCACCGTGCTGCCATTCGCCGGCTCCTTATACCGTGCAGGAAAGACGGCGCTACGGGGATGAACACGCAATTCTGGCTCCCGTAGGGAGCCTATACAAAAGAGTCAGCGCCACTGACTCTTCAGCGACTCGACGGAACCACTAAGTGTAGCCGTGTAGTGTCCTTAATGGCTGATGTGGGAGAAATGGCGGCGTTGCAATAGACTTCTTCCAAACCGACGCGCCCCATCGCAACGAAATACCACGCAGTGCCCTCTGGGAACTTGTTGGCCACTTAGTTTCGGTTTCTACTGAGCAGCTTCATCTCATGCTATCACGCCGCGACCGAATACGCTGCTCATGTTTTCGATTATCTGACTTTTTTTACGAATGTACAATACACTCATTCTCGAGCGATACAAAACGAAGACCGGGGCACTTTTTTTGGTTCCAGAAACACCGGATATTATGCGTGCGTATGCAAACGTAGTAAGACGTGGCTTAGTCACCTCACCCCACGAGTGCATCTTTGAGCTCAGTGTCAGTAATCCTGTCCAGTACCAGTGAACTACAACTGAAATTTGGTCACCTTGAGCCCTACACGTATTTTGTTTGCCAAACATACGCTTCTTGTTACTTCATTGGGCGAAAAGCAAGCCACATCCTCACAGGAGTATCAAAGTTAAGCCCAGCATTGGCGCATTAACTTTTAAGGAAACAATAAATTCAACCTCACTACTGCACAAAAGTTACTGTGATGTCTTCCTCATGTTATCACATATCTCACACTCAAATTTTATGCTGATAGAAGATTAAGTTTTCGCAAACGCTAAGATCGGCTAGCTACGACGGAGGCCCTAACAAGCGTCCCCAACTCCTCCTCAGCCTTTTTGGACGAGCTTTTACTGACGCCCGAGATCTGTGCCTGAATGGTGTGTCTGAAATTATCTCGGCATACTCAGTCAGAAAGAAAGCAAACACATAACAATATTATGGCCATTAGCAACCGTCAAATGCGCTTTGAATAATTTCGTTGGTTCAAAACACCGCAGAATTCATGCCTGTCCAGTGCACTTCCAGCGAACGGTGCGACATTGCTCACACAAGTGCTCGACTTCTGCTTTCTTTTTTTGTATGTGCGAATGTACCTATATTATTGCAGGATAACTTTATGCGCATACGTGATGTTGAATATTAGTGGAAGGCAAGCGGGTGGGGACTTTGTGCAGTGCTGCGGGGCAGTACAGATAAGAGATGAGAAGTGTGTTCGAATGGAGCTTTTCAATGGCACGTCAGAGTTTTACTTCGCATACTCAGGCGCATTAAGAAAAACAGTAATTGCAAAAAGTTATATTTTGTCTATGGACGCACAAAGAAAAAAAAAAACCAAAAAACTTCCTGATCAGCAACACTAATGTAAAGGCGCGAGCTCGATGTATGCATACTTATTGGTTGCTACAGCTTGTTGATTCGTACACAAGCAAGATCCCTGAGCTTCGCAGCGTCGACATTCCCAGCACTGGCTCGTCCACATACCTCGAACCGCTAACAAAAAGGTTCAAGTACAAAAATACAACAAGCATGCGTTAAGACAAGCTATACTTCTCGGGCTTGCGCTAAAGATTCGAGGTCTGGCCATTTAGGTTAGTTTAGAGACCACAAATGACGCTCTCGATACCAGAAAATATGAGATAACGGCCGTTTATGGTCCACGCTCTGTGTATCTCTTGTCGACGTGTCAATCGAAACCGAAACCGTGCCACTCTCCTCCCTGGCTAACTAGTTCCCAGAGTGCAACGCGCGCCGCGTTGCATGCAGGAATTTATGGAAGTAGTCTATTACGTTTAGTTCGGTTCTCGAGTATGGATGGAAGCCATTAATCATTTCTTCCTAACAAAAGCTGGCATATGTAGATTTTTCACTGAAAAAAGTTAACCTTGGGGGCTTTAGTCCCCCATCCTTAAAATCTGCCCATGATGCATGTGCCAAGAAAATGAGGGAGAAGAGTGGAAGAGAGCACGCAAGGACGTCAGGACACCCGAGCTCTGGTTAGAGGGATTGGTGGGTACACCTAAAGCTAGGTGCCTTTGTCTCCACTGCACTTGTCGAGGACGTTTCAATGTGAGAGCCAAACACCGGACGCCCGCGTTCTGCAGTCGAACGTGTTCAACGAGTGCAGCAGAAACAAAGGCTGCCTTCATCTCCACTGCACTCGTCAAACGCATTCGAATGTGAATGCGAAACGCTAGACACCGACGTTCTGCATGTGCAGTACAGACAAAGGCAGTTAGCTTTAGGTCTACCTACTAATCGCTCCAATCGGAGCTCTGCGTTTTGACATTCCTGCACTCTCCTCCCCTCTCTCTCAATTTCTCGGCACATAGAGTTCTGGAAGTTTAACAACAGTGGCTAGTGAAAAATCCAACAGACATGACATCCACAAAAAAAACCAAAAAAAAAACAGCTTTCTTTGGGATTTTTTTGAAGGTGTTCTAAAATGCACTGAGAACTCCAAGTTGAGTTACTCCGTTCGGAGCTGAGGGAGTTGATACTGAACGCACCATCACCACTACTGCAAGGGAGGTCACGTGGAAATATTGTGTCCCTGAACTGCTCCTGCCGCTTCAAACACCTTAGAGTTGTCGGAGCTGCTCATCGGTTTCAAGTCGTACCCAAAACCAGCAATGCGTGTTGCTGTGGAGGGGGGAATAACTCATCAGCTGCCCAAAAACTATATGAGTAACTTATCCCATGAGTAGCGGGCGGCCTTATAGCAAGCTCGTTTCAAACGCACTGGCATTATGCGAGTCATCTCATAGAGTGCACCGCACTTGCGGAGTGCCGCACAAACAACCGGTCTCAAACTAACTTACCGAGTGCAGCATGATGCTGTCACCATCTGCATTGTAGTAAGAGTGCAGACCTCAAACTGAAATTAGCGCTACGCTGTTCGACATGACGGGCAGGAATGCGATTGAGAGTTGCTGCAACGTGTAGTTTATATCTGTGATGACTTCAAACAGCACGGCTGTAAGAGATATTTACAGATGGCATTAGTCCCTGTAACCTGCCCAGTACAAAACAGCTGTAACTTTTTGTTAAACGATACACTGGAAAAAACTGTGCCCAAAAGCTTGATCAGAGCAAACGCAAGAAATTTGAAGGATAGGCACGCCTTGCGGAACACAAGGATGCCCACACGACTCTTTCTCTGAAGCGTGCTCCTTCTGTACGAACAGCCCAAGTTAATTTTAGGGTTAGAATATTTTTTGCCAGTTTCACACTGTTTTGGATGGGTGCGAGGCAGGCTCACTCTCGTCGTAAAGCGGTACTCGGTCTTGTTGACTGATATTGCCATTTCGTTTGACACTGCGATGTGCAACACTCTCGAAGCTAGCTAGATGTAGGGCACGTTTCATTCTTGATTATCGCCGCTTGTCCAGAAAGCTCTGTGACACTTTGTCGCTGCCAGATGACACTGTGCTCAACGTGCCGTTGCGCCCAACGGACAGGCCACGTGACACACCTTCGGCACTGGATTGGCTCCGATGGCTCGCAGCATTCAGAGTAAAGTGCAGTATTGCATTTTGCGCTCTAGTAACTCACCACTGCCGAGCTGCTACGCCAGAAGCACTCAGCAGACCCCACCAACTCACCTCTACGTTGACAGGGCGGTAGGAGCCATGTGGTTGGTGGGCCAAGCTTTTATTGCCTCATGTCCGACCTGCACATCTGTATGAGAAAGGGGCATGATAAGTGATGCAAGACTAACAATCGGCTGGTTCACCGAGCATGTAGCCTCCAGTGCCCTGTCAGTTAAGGGGTGAATGAAGTCTAAAGTTGGTATATAACAGCCGTCTACTGTCCCACTCTCAGGCACGCCACCCATGACCAGTCCAGTCGTTATGACACGTTATGACACGGGTTATGACAGGGGTTATGACACGAAAATTAAACGGATAGACTATTCTTGAAATGGAATGCTCATAGGCTACTTAGTATATACACCAAGTTACGCAATTTTTAGAGCTCTGATAATTGCAATATTCAATATACGAATTTTTATAATTTTCATCTGGCGACCAGGCAACACTGCTCAACTTAGTCACACCATGGTGTCCATAAACCACGTGACCATGAACACTCTCTCATTCTAGGCACCCCCATGATCGCCCAAGCTCTTCTCGTCGAGGTATGAACAAAACCGCTCAAACACCTCGGTAAACTGAAAGCTAGTCTCGCTCTCGCCCCCCGGCCGGTTGACCTTCCACCCTGCATGCGCCTGCGAGACATTCCCGGACGACGGTGACCACGGCGAACTCGTCGTCGCTGGAGCTCGCCGCCAGCGGGTCGCAGTCACAATGAACAGCTTCCAACATCTCTTGATAGCAATCACTCTCATCGCTGCTTCGATCAATGTTGAACACTTCGACAAGGCGATCGATGCCGTAGACGTAATCGTCACAAACCGGATGTTGGAAACGTGGAAGGTAAACGAGGAAGCTGAGGCTCGATACGCCAAGAGAGCCAAGTCTGTGAGTGCGTGCAAGTAGACACCACGCTGGAGGCTGGCTACGTCATCAGCCTCCAGGTCCGCCCGGATCTGAGGGGCCCGCATATAAATCGATTTATCCACGAAATTATCGCGCCTTTTTCAAAACAAATTTAGCAGGATTACAGGAACATACAATGGGTCCTAGCAATATAGTTATGTAATATTTTATTTTTGGCGTGTCATAACCCCTTTAAGCAAGGTTAAGCAATGACCGCCTTGTGCCACCACACATGAAGGTGTCCACGGAACAAAGCCGTATTGGTCCTGCCATAACCCACACCTTGTCGAGGTAGAAAACTTTCGGGCCCTTTATTTCCTGTGTTGTACAATACCCCAAGAGGTACCTCTGTTAAAACGGGACTATTTTGACCCCCTCGGTCAGAAGCGAGGCCCCTTGTCGCCATTCAGCGCCGTCTACTCATTCATAGATGTTGCTCTTTTCGACAAAATGTCTGTGGCGACAGCTGGAGCTAGTGAAAAGGCGGACACCATAGCTCTTCCCAAAGCACCCTGTTCTTCCTCAAGAGCGGCTAGTTCATCCAGGAACAGTGCAATGCTGCTTGGTGGTCTATGATCGCAGACCACCGGTCATAGCCGCACCAACGGCGGCGGCGGCGGCGGCGCCCCCCCCCCCCCCCCCCCCAACTGACGTCACTCAGGTGACAAGCATTTCACTCGCATGACGTGACTCCAAGCCATACTCACTATGGCTGGCGACAACGCATAAAAGGCATGCGCTGGCCCTTTGACCCATGCGGAGTGCAGTGCAGGAAGTGGAACGGCATTGGTGACCCAGTCGCTGCAGTTACCCAGAACTGTTTTACTGCTGTCTCGGCGAAGGTGCAGGCCCGCTGTTTGATGCACGTAGGTAGAAGCCATCAGCCGCAAGCATCGGACACCTGGGGTGGAAAATTTTGCACCCAACAAAACAATAACCATGAGAAGAGTGGTCTAGCCGGTGAATTGCAAAAACATAAAAAGCAGGCACATAAAGAAGTATTTCCGTTACCTTGTCTTGCAAAAATACAAAAAGCAGGCACATATAGAAGTATTTCTGTTACCTCGTCTCATGCTCAAGCATTATTTTGGATAGTATACATCAATAATGCCTATCTCGCAGTGGCTTTCTGAACAAAATGTAGTAGAAAATACAACCAGTTGAATACCAAAGGAGAAGTAGAACAGAGAGGCACTTATTTGTTGTCACTTTAACATGCACACTATGGAAGAGCACAACTCTTCGCCATTAACCTGTAGCAGAATCGCTGAGCAGTTCTGCGGCAGGTGTGAATGTACCACGAGGCAGAATACAGTATTTGTGCAGAAAACACCATCGCAGGCCTACCAGGACGAACAGCAACATACCTATTTACCCGCCACAAATTCGACGCGCCGTGAGGGCCATTCGCGAAGCCTGATCTGTTTGTAAATCCCGTCTTTCGACAGAACGCTTTTGTGACTGCACGAGCTCGTCAAAAGCTGACATTCCCAACATGCAAATGCGGCGCAGGCGGCACTTGGGAGCCACATGCCACTCCCGTTGATTATCTGTATTATCTTCTTCTTTGTCCCCGACGCTACGTGAGGTAGCCAAGCGCTATCAAATTCCACCATAGCGGTGTTGAATCGACGATCGAACGCCACCAGTAGGTAAATTCCACTCACCTTTTACTTTCCGAACAAGCGTCCCACGAGCCTCCATGTGGCGAGACGGGGCCTGTTGCTGGCTTGCATGAATGCGCTGAATGCGCTGTGGACTTCACTGCCGACGCTCGTTCCCAAGCATTGAATATCACGACCAACTCCACTCGGCAATACCGCGGCACATAACACGACAATGTATAATACAAGAAAGACCGCTGGAACCACTGATATGGAACCAACGCGACCGCTCCGAAACCTCCGAAAAGCGCCCAACAAACACTTGGAGCAACGAAAAGTAAAAGCAAAAAGTAAAATTGGAAAAAGCAAAAACAAACAAAACAAAAATTTTCGTCACTTCCTGTTTGTGCTGTTTTGCTTGTTTTTGCTTTTTCTTTCAGCCAATAGGCGTTGCAACCTTACTGCGGCGAAACGCTCGTGGTCTATTTTGGTGAAAAGTTCGAAGGTTCGTCGAACCGGTTCGACCCAGTCGAACCTCGAAAGTTCAACCTAGAAATCCGGTTCGACAAAAGTTCGCGACACCCCTAAGGGAAAGTTCGGCGAACCTTGTATTGAGGTTCGACTCGTGTGCGCATGCGCGACAGGCAGGCCAGTTGGCTTCGGATTGGATGGTGATGGCAAAGGGATGTATCAAGGGCAGCGCTGATTGGTTCTTTCAGTAGAAAAAATTAAGTTATTAACTTCTTCAGTGATAAGAATTGGTTTCTTTTAATTGCAACTGTTCATAAAATAAAATAACCCAGTGCATACAAAAAAAAAAAAAAATTCTCCAAACCCAGACATGCTTCTATCAAGGTCTGGCCACAGTTTCCACAAAGTCGAACCGGTCGAATCTGTTGAAAAGTCGAAGGTTCGTCGACCGGTTCGGCCCAGTCGAACCCCAAAGGTTCGACCTAAAAATCCGGTTCGACAAAAGTTCGCAACATCCCTAGTTTTGATTAGGGGTGTCACCATTGAGTGGGTGTCACTAACTTTTGTAGAACCTCGATTTTAACGTAGAACCTCAAGTTTCGACTGGTCGCCGAACCTTCGACCGGTCCTTTTTCGAAGTTTCGACGAAGTTCGACTTATGGACAGTGTTGCCCGGCTTCTTCACGAATATTTCGAATTTTTGGAAACAAATAATTTAGGAAGTAGTTCATTTTACATTTTATAAAATTGCTACCAATGTTTACTCCATATAAAAGTGAAAATATGCGCTTTTAATGCTTTCGTGCGCACAAAAGTCGAACTTCAGTCGAACCTTTGGCGACCATCATGCTGCCATCACGTTAAAAGGTCGAAAACGTCGAACCTCGTCGAACTCGCCCCTGGGCAGGTTCGCGACATCCCTAGTTTCGATCAGTGGTTTTGGCCGAATATTTTTGATGCAAAAATACTCCAAAAGCCGGGAGTCGTCATAATTAAAATAAGAGCACCGACTTGACATAACAGAAAGAACAATTTCATTAGACGTTTCGCCTCCCAATGGGGAGGCATCTTCAGTAATTACAAAGCAAATGCGATGTTCAACCTCAAGTCAACGCTATTTATCACGTTGGTGGAGAGGGCCGCGGTTTTTGTTACACACGGATGTGTGTAACAAAAACCGCTATTCTAGGAGCTTTCATCTGTCCTCCCACGCCAAGGGCGTCGCGGCCGGAAATTAAAAAAAGTGCCCCATTGTCCACGCATGGTCCACCAGTTGAGTCTTCAGTCGCGTCGCGTGGGATGCGTACGTAACGTCACGCTTGTGTGCTTTGAGTCTGGTATCTCTCCTCCGTCCGGTTTCACCAATGTAGGACGCTGGGCAGTCACTGCAGGGGATCTTGTAGATAACCCCTCTTTGGACGTTCGCCGGGGTTGGGTCCTTTGGTTTGGAAACGGAATTTCCAATAGTTCTGTATGGCTTGAAAACAGTTCGAATGCCAAGGGGCCTCAAAGCGCAACTGAGAGGTTCGGAGACTCCTTTGACATAGGGGATGCACACTACATTCTTATCTCTTTCCCTTTCGCACGGTTGCACATTTTGTTTCATTTTGTTTTTTGAACTCGTCAGCAATACGCTTTGGGTAGTGACGTTTCACTAAAGCTCCCTGTAAATGAGTCATCTCATTTGCGCCATGGAGCTCGTTAGGTGACACGGCATCTGATCTCTGTACAAACGATCGCACTACTGATTTCTTGTGTTGCACTGGGTGATGGGACAAAAAATAAAAAAAAAAAATATCTGTTTAGCATGGTGTGCGGTACAGACCCGTTTCAATCCTGTGGTTCGGTTCGCCTGTCCTCAGTACAGATACATCTAGGAAGGGCAACTTGCCCTGCTGTTCTGCCCAGGGGGGTAAAGGTGGGTGAGGAGGAGTGGCAAATCCCGTGCGCCGACACCCGGGGTCCCGAGTGAACGATCGCAAAAGAGAGCGACAGAGCACGAGAGAAAGAAAGCAACGTTGCCATGGTAAACGCGAAGAGTGAAAACTCCCAGCAATATAAACAGTGATAATTTAACGTTGTAAACTAAATTCTGAGCTATTCTAACGCTTACAAAAAGCAATAAAGTCATTACGCTGCATTAACTTCCCTTCTGTCGAAATCTCGAAAATCTGGTAGTTGCGCAGTTTCGTATTCCTCAACCGCGCCCACCCGCGCCCTACCAATACCACCTAGAAGACAAGGCCTGCGCATGACGTTTCGTTAGTAGATCCCCGACCCGCCCCAAGCGGCAAACACCCCGAAGCTTGACGAGAGTAGGGGCCGCGTCGCAACTACGTCGCATTCACTTGCGGCCGCAGCTGTGTGCGTGACTGCTGAGCGCGAGCTGATAGCGAGCTTCCAGTGCATTTGCGGCGTGCACGCGAGCGCTCCCTCGGCCAGGAGCGCGAGCTAGCACGCGCTCCTGGCTTTGAGACGCGCATTTCTTGCGCGCGCGCTCGTTCTGCGGTAGAACGCTTCGAAGCAGCTACTCGAGGTATAAACAGCGCCCTCAAAAATGGCGTCCAGTGTCAGCGTCCAGCGTCCAACGAAGGGCTTTTCAGCCCTTCGCGCAGCAGTAAGGCAATTTCGCTCATGCATTTGACGCTCCACGTGAACGTCTAACTTCATCGTATGCTATTTGCAAGAGACACTCGGCGTGAGCATCTGTTTCATTATCTGTTACACAAACCACTGAAGCAGGTGATGGAGCAGACGATGTAGCAGACGATGTTGCTCATCCGGGCTAGCTAGGGGGCGCTGAGGGGATCTACTAGTGATGACGTTTAGAGGAGGAAACGCGCAGGCCTTGTGTTCTAGGTGGTATTGGCCGTACCGGCGAAGCCGGGTATGTGGTTTAGTTTAGCGTTAACGCGAGGCCGTACATCTGCGCGCTATGCAAAAAGAAAGTTTCGAAAGGAACGCGAATATCTTTCCACCGGTAAGTTCGTGGATTAATAATAATAATAATAATAATATTTATTCAACTCGGAAAGAGTTGCGACACCACAAAAGGCGAGGAGCCCATACCAGGAGGTCTGTGGTGCCGCAGTTACATGAGCGACAAAAAACAACAACAACAACAACAACAACAACAACGAAAAACAAAACAACAACAAACAAAACAACACTCGGCTGCGTGCTGCTTAGGACCGCAAGTGCGGTATTGCCCCCCTGCAGATGGGTCTTATATCTTCTTTCTCGCTCAGGCCCGCTGTCAGCTCTGATGGCAGGGACCGCCACAGATTTACTGCCCTGATGACGAAGGTATTCCGGTGCCGGTCAGTGCGGGCAAAGAGTGGTTGAAGGCCACCGTTCCGGTTCAGCCGCAGCTGCCGAGCAAGAGGAACCTCGGGAGCCTCTGGCAGGAGGCAGGTTGCCAAAAGCCGGACCGAGGAGATTTTCCTGCGCAGGGCCAGAGAGTTCCAACCCACACGTGCCAGCAGATCATCCGTAGCTATGTCCCGGTACCGGGGGACATGAGGGGTCTGCCACCGCAAGATAGTGTACGGGGCACGTCTTTGCACACTTTCAAGAGAAGCGGATAAGGTGGCCTGAGGGGGGTCCCAGACTGCGGCACAGTACTCAAGGTGCGGCAGCACCAGTGCGGTGTAGAGGTGCCTCAGTGTTCTTGACCCGGCCCCTCTTGAGACACGGGTAGCAAAACCCAGCATCCTTCGAGCTCGGGAGATCACTTCGGCAATGTGAGTGCCGAAACTGAGTCGACAGTCCAGTTTGACACCTAACAACTTGGTGCTGGTCGTTCTGGAAATGTTCACTCCGTCGA